CGACTTTGAAACGCTTTTGGTCTGAATCAATAATACCTAAATAAGAATATTTTCGAGTTCACTTTTTTCCTACTAAAACACACGAAGACCCAAATGGCACCAATAGCTGAAAGCCTGTAATCAAAAATAAATTAAGATGTCATCGCAATCCCATAAAATCGACTTTGTGATAATGCATCATATGGGACCAAGTCGGGTGATGCGTTTCAGACCTAACCACATAGAGTGTAGGGTCACTTTTAAGTCAAACGGCTGAATCTACGTGATCTTTCATTGCACTATTACAACCGTGAAAATGCCGAACTTCTCTGAACCTTTTTATTTATAGTTTTAGAATTAGATCGGGAATATCCTAGTACATTACACGAAATGAAAATTTCTTTTTCTGTAATTAATCTAAATCGTAGAATGATTAGGTTATGTTTCAAAGTAACTGAAAAATAAATGATTTTGAAACAACCTTACTAGAGTTAGTATATAAATGCCATACACCAAAAAAAATTAGTATAGAAATACAGTGATATGATACGTTTCTACTAGGATTTTTTTTATGTCTTAGGATTCTCAAGCTTATTTAAAAGAATTTATGCACACGTTTATTGAGGTTCCAAAATAAATGAATATTTATCTCAGTTTCGATTCTCTATCAATTGTGTAAATTAATAGACTTTATCCAACTTTATATATTACGTAATCAGAAAATTAATATGTCAACTTGCTTGATTAATATTGTGTAACTAGGTGATTTTCATGTGCTCATGCACGGATATAAATATTTTAAAGTAAATATATAATAATAAATTATTACTATTTATTTTTAATATTAAATTAATTTATAAGTTGTATTCATCATTTATATTAAACATTATATTACTTTAATTATACTATAATTATACATATATATATATATATATATATATATTATATTTAGACTATTTTGTTGTTTTACGGTTGATTTAGTTATCATTTGGATAAATTGGATTGCATCTCTGAATTCAATTATAATATTTTAAAAGTATATTAATTTTTAGTTAATTATTTATTTGCATTTAGTGGGTGTTGTCTTCGATATGTAAATATATTTTAGGAAAATTATATATAACTTAAGATATATTTTGCTTAGAATGAATTAAAAATTAACTAAAGTGTCTGATTCGAAAATACGTAAATTAATAGAACGATAATATTCTAAAGTCTCATGCATATATATAAATTTTTTTAAAAAAACTAAAATTGCAAGAGTTGGTTAGTATTTATTTATATTTGTTAATATGTTTAATTTTGAGTTATCCTATGATCAATAGAAGGTTACATGCATAAGAAGTTGATACATTTTTGGAAGCTTATGAACACATATCAATATTTACAACAATTAAAATATTCATAAATTCTAAATAACTTTATGCTTTAGATTTATTGAATGTAAACTAAAATTTATTTTAATAATCTTAAAATTGGGAATTCAGATTTGCTTTGGTATTTTGATTATAGTTTTATTTAGTTTCACAAACATAAAACATAAAATTTAAAAGAAATTTAATATTAAGGAAACAAATAATTTTAATAATTGTAAAATATCATATATCTAGCTCATTAAACTAATTGTTAGTTATTTAATCAAACGATGTTTATTGTTAAATTTATTTTTAGTTTTTAATATCTCTTAAAAATAAGCACTACACAAAATTGTGATTGTATTTGAAAATAATATTATATAAGTAAAATATAATTTATAGATAATTTTCTGTAATTGAAAGATGTTATAGATAATATTTATAAGTTCTAAATAACTTTATGCTTTAGATTTATTGAATGTAAACTGAAATTTACTTTAAATAATCTTAAAATTGGAAATTCAGATTTGCTTTGGTATTTTGATTATAGTTATATTTAGTTTCACAAACATTAAAACATAAAAATTAAAATAAAATTTAATATTAAAAAACAAATAATTTTAATAATAATAAAATATCATATATCTAGCTCATTAAACTAATTGTTAATTATTTAATCAAACGATGTTTATTGTTAAATTTATTTTTAGTTTTAATATCTCTTAGAAATAAGCACTACACAAAATTGTGATTGTATTTCAAAATAATATTATATAAGTAAGATATAATTTATAGATAATTTTCTCTAATTGAAAGATGTTATAGTCAACTAAATATATGAAAAAATAATAAAAAAAATCAATAAGACTAAATATAAACTATTTTTATTACTCTAAAAGTATTTTTATGTTATTTAAACATATTTTAAATGTATTATTAATATTTTGTGAACTTTCATTTTTTATTAAATCATATTATATATACATATTCGTTTTCAATTTGTTTTTATGATTTTATTAAAAAAATTCCTTTTTATTGCATATATTTTTGGAAATTTTTGAAAAGAAAAATAATAAAAGAATTAATAATACTATTTTTACTATTTCACTTAAGGGTATCAATGTAATCAACCATCGTGAAAGTGAACGTGAGAGCGGCACATAGGAAACTGACTTCTCAAATAATATTATAGAGATACAAAGAAAATAGTAAACATATATGCATGTCAAATTTTCATTTTACTCGTCGAATAAAATGTATAACCAAGTTTTTGGCAGTAGGGCTGACAGGTTTTGGATTAGTATTTCACTATTTGTTATATCCAAGTATTCACCTAATTATTTACCATATCATATTGATCAGGGATTCTAATGAGAAAACTCCTCCAATATCAGTATTCATTTTAAAACCTTCAACAAAAGTTTTAATGAGAAAAATCCTCAGCTAAGAAATACAAATTAATAAAAGGTTAGCACCACAATAATTTTACAATATTTTAAAAACAATTGCATTGATAAAACCCTTCCAAGTAAATAATTGTTAACACAATTTTCCATATATTTTCTTTATCATTAAAAATTAAAATAAAAGTTAGTTGAATGAGGGATAAAATGACTAAATTTGGGGAATGCCATCTAATGAAAGTCAAAATAAAATATTTTAACGTGGTTTTTGTTGAGCAACATTATAGCTTCATGTGATTTATGTAATCTGATATTATAATTTTGATGATCTTATTGAAAGAGAAATAGTGTTTCAGATAAAAATACCTAAAAAACATTGATGTTGTTTTTTCGGCAGTTCATTATGCTATATCTCAAGAGTGTAAATTGATAAAAATACAGTTGCAACTTGCAACGATAAAAAACACGTTGTTGATATGTTGAAGAAGTGGTGAGTGTAGCTTTAGGTGTTCGATTTTTGGTTCATTTTTTGGGTTTCGATTTTTAGGTTCTAGAAATATAAGATTCAATCAAGTATTCATGAAATACTTGAAACTTAGTTTGTATTTAAGTATTCAGTTTCATTTGGATAATAAATTTGAGAACTGAATAATATCTGAAAATTTTTGGATCCAAATTTGTTTTCCTTCTTGGACAATTTTGGTAATCTTGGAAAACATATTAAAAAGTAGCTATAATTTAGGATTTCAGGAAAAATATCAAGTAATTCAGATAGTTTTAAATATTTATAATTTAGATAAGTTTAAATATTTTCATAAAAATATTAGAGTAATCGAATTAGTAATTTTGCCTGACAGTATTTTAAGTTATTCAGCTACTTAAAACCAAATTTAATTAATGGGTTACGTATATAGTTTATTTCTTAGAAATTTAAATATCCACTTGGTTATTAGTTCTTTCTTTTTTTTTAAATAGAGGAATATGAACCTTTCAGATAGTTGTGATATCAGTAGGTTTTCAGTTTTGATTTTATGATTCAGTTTGATTTATTTTTTGACTTTACGGTTTAAATGCTCAAAGCTAGTGTTGTGTTTGAATCTTTTATAATTTGGTAGGAGAATTAAAATTCATATATTTACAATTAAAAACATTTTTTTTAAAAAACGGATGTCACTTGTGATTTTAAATTTTTGATAAAGGGTTAATTTTATCATTGATTTGTTGTCGAGACAGAGACATCTTAAAAGAAAATAATCGGTGTAACTGTTTCGAGCCTGATCCTATACTCTCTCATGAAACAATAGTTAATTCGAAATTTTATATACATTTATCTATTTTATATTAAATATTTTTAAAAAATATATTTAAAGGATAAAATATTATATCTATATATATATATATAAATATTAAAAACATATAAGATATTATTCATAACATTTTAAAAGAATAAGATTAACAGAATACTTTAATAACACATAATGTTTTGCTCCATAAATTATCGAGAATTTTTAGTTATATCTAATGATATTTGAGTGATTTATTATTAATGTCATAAAGGTGAAGGTTTTTCATAAAAAGTTAATTGAGAAAATAATTATGTTAATGCTTGAAAGGTTTTACCATTAAAATCTCAGTTGATATGCCAAATGCTAACTTTTAAAATGTTTAACTGAAAATGGCTTTCTTCTACAAATTCCGTTGTAGTTTGGTGTTTACTTCATGATGTTTGTGTTAAATTTTGGTTTGGTTTAGTTTACTTTCCAATCATCATACTAGTTAGGAGATCAGTCACATGGTCTATCTATCCATAAACTGTAGCCCACTTGGATTCTTGGATTATACTATGCCCCATCTTAATTGCAATGATAGGGATCATCCCATTAAACTTGGGGTTTTAAATTTCTAATGGTAACATGGGACATAGGAACATGCGTTGATAAACAAACCAATTGAATGTAGCAAATTGGAACAAGCATATCAAACCGATCAAAAGGTGCAAATCAAACAACAACAAAAAATGAATCAGACTCTTAACAATACAGTTCTCATATTTTCCAATACTTTCTTTTATATTTAGGATGTTGGAGATAGTAATCCTTCTTTGTAATGATCAGTGATATAATAAGGGTGTTGGAGATCGTAACTCTTCTTTGTAATGATCAGTAAAATCAATCGACATGATTTTTATGTTCAAAAAACTTAGTTTTTTCAAAAAAAAAAAAAAATCATCGCATTTGTCATATTTAGGTTGGTTACTTTATTTCCACAAAACATATTGTATTATTATCATTACAAAAGTTTTACATTGTACATATACTACATTTTTTTTCCTAAATAACCAACACTATTATTCTTGAGCAAAAAATCTAACATTCCAAAAACAATGTTGATAAAGTTGCAACTTTTATCTACGAGGAGGTAGTTTAACAAAATTAATAATAAAGCGTTTTTTTTTTTTGGGATTTCTTGTCTCCATTTTAGGACGTTAATCATCCAATCATATGATTGTAAACCAAGTACAAATCACTTTTCCCAGGTTTTAAAATGCAATTTGCACCCCTTAAACACTATATATTCACAAAATTAACCCCTACGATAATAACTTAATCCCCAAACTACCCTTCACTCTTCTATCTTACTCAACTTGACCTCATACTTCCTCCTCCCGCTACCACCACCGCCACGCCTTTTCCCGTTCCTCGTCTGGCCGTTAGATCCCACCGCCGTAACTCTCCGGGCAGAGAAGATAGCCGGAGAAACACATTTCCGGCGACACCGGCATTTATCTCTGCCGCAAGAACCACCGCTTCTCATAAGAGCAGAGCTAGCTTTGACAGCCAATGCAGCCATCTCCTCCGCTTTAAGAGACTGATGAAGCGAGCTGAGAGGTAAAGCGAAGTAAAGCTGTCCAAGCTGAAGCTCCTCGTCGGCGCTAATGGCGGACACGACGTCGTCGAAGTCCATATCATCGGCGTTACATATAAAACACATGGGATTCTTCTGCAGAACGTAACCGACTTTGACCGGAGTTGTGAACTCCATCATCCTTCCGTCTTGCAGGATCAGCTTCGCCGTGGCCGCTTGTGTCGGCTCGTGCGACATGCATGTACCCATTTGGTTTGACTCAGTGAGTCGACTCGGTTTCAGGCGAAGATGAATAGTTTGGAGAGGATGAAGAGAAATGTGTTTACGTGTGTGTGTATAAATAACGAGATGTGCCACGTAGGATTTTGATGTGATTATATTTTTTTGATTTTGAAGTTTGAAGTTTGAACGACCTGTGGGGGCAGTGACAGGCTGTGTAAGTAAGTTGAGAGGATGACAGCTTGTTGTGTAGCTTAGCTTACCCTTCGTTTTAGGGTTTAATTACAAGTATTGGGGACTGTGTTTATCAATCAAGTTAATTTATCAGTTTGACTTACGATGGTCTTATAATTCCTGAAATCCCTTATTAATCAAAGATAAAATTACCATTTGATTTTGAGTGAAAATTTAAAGACGCATGGATAAATTGAATATAGTTATATAGAATCTCAAAAGCAATGCGCGTTAATATGGTTCATAGAAACATATTGGATTTTTAACATAAAAACCCCTCAACTAAGTTTGTTTTTGGGTAAAACCCCTAAACTAAGTATTTAATGAAAAAAACCTCAAACTAACTTTATTTAGTGAATTAAACCCTCGCCGATCATAATTACCAGTACTACCGGTAAATCTTTAGTTTAGGGGTTTTATCATTAAATATAAAAATTCAAAAAAAGAAAAAAAGCAAAATATAATAACATTATCTAAACATTCATAATTTTAATTTTCAAAACTAGCATTTTAAAAATTTCTGTAAATATATGAATGATTTCTTATCCTTGTAAAATGGATTTTTAACTCTAAAATACCTTAACTAAGTTTTTTTCGGTAAAAACCCCCCAAACTAACAAATAAACCCATATTAAACATAGTTAAAGGGTTTTTATCATTAAAAATCTATAAAAATTAAATTAGAACATTATCTAAAAATTAGTAACTTAAATTTTTAAAATTGGAATTTTTCAAACTTTCTGTAAATATATGAGTTTGATTTGTTTTAACATCAATATTATATATATAGATTAAATTTTAAAAAACCAAAATATAATAAAAAGCATCTAAAGATTTATTATTACATTTTTTATTAAATAAGATATAATTTTTATTATCTTGTTTTTATATTTATAAATATTGATAATTTTTATTACAGGTAAATCGTTAGATAATTTTTCTTATATTTTTTTGGTTTTTACATTTTAAATTTATACATATATAATTTTGATTTTAAAAGGATAACAAATCAGACTCATATAGTTAAAATGCTAGTTTATAAAATTAAAATTACCAATTTTTAGATAATGTTATTATATTTTGAATTTTATTGATTTTTATGTTTAATGATAAAACCCCTAAACTGAAGATTTACCGGTAGTACTGGTAATTATGACCGGCGAGGGTTTAATTCACTAAATAAAGTTATTTTGGGGGTTTTTTCATTAAATACTTAATTTAGGGGTTTTTACCCAAAACAAACTTAGTTGAGGGGTTTTTATGTTAAAAATCCAAACATATTTAATCAATTGTATTTTCACGGAGAAAAATACAAAAAAGTCACTAATAATTTGATTAAAAAGATGAATGCCTCCAATATGTTTAAAAATCATTTTTTGTTCCATACAATAATATCTTGTCACTTATTTAATTGTTACTTAGATTTTGGCTACTTAGCAAATGTTCTTTAAATTTTAAGAGATACTAGATTTTGATCCGCTCTTTAAAAGCGCGGGTATATTTTTACCATTTTGATAAAATTTATTTAAATTAATTATTCAAACACAAAAAATTTAAAATTGTTTTATTAATATTTTTAAAAATTCTATTATAATGTTTGATTTTCACGTAATGTTTCCATATCCGACCCAGATCCATAGTTAAACCGGTACATCCGACAATTTTTATATAATCCAGTTAAGATTTAATTAAAATTTTACTAATTAAAATTTTTAGCCAACCCGGTATATATCTTAAAACCCGCTATTAATCTGTATTATGATATCCGTTGATCCGTTAAATAACCCCACAAAAACTGATAATATATTTTAAAAAATTTGTTAAATAATTCATATTTTTAATATTAAAGAAAATTGATTTTTTGTAATTTCTTTAATAAAAACTTTCTTGTCATTTGAAAAAATGAAACAACGGCAATAGAAAAAAAAACACAATTTATTCATATAACAATATTAGTTTTTTTCGTTATTAATAACCTATGATAATTTTACATTTTTACTCATTTTATATCTAAAATTTAGTTTTTAAAAAAAAATTGAATTGACATATCATTATTTTGGATAAAATGAAACAGTAAATAATAATTTATAATTTTTGATCGCTAAATAATATGATGCACGCAAATATAATATTAAAATTAAATAGAAAATCATAATTTTCATAAAAGGAAAATTATTATTAATCACAAAAATAAATAGTGGTATTATCCTCTGTTCTAAAATGCGCCCGGATTGACGATTAAACGGCCGCAAAATCGTTCGGCGGTTGGTCACCGTAGCGTTTCGATGTGATTCGGTCACAAAATCGGATCTCTAGGAAAAGTTTCGTTTTTTATATGTTATGATCTGAAAATCGAATATTTACATAAGATCTGTGAAGTTTGGAAAAAAAAAACAAAGAAAATCAAAGAAAAATGACAGAAAAAATGCAAATTACGATGCTACCCTTCATTAAAAAGGCCTTAAAAATGCAAGAGCAGAAAGCCACTACAGCAACTCATCTTTCGATTAATCCTTAGCAATATGTTATATATAACTAAAAACCCTAAAATAAATCCCTGATTAATCCCCGTATAATCTCCGATTTATTGATTCGGCGCTAGGCCCTATATGACCGCACGCGTAGCGCCTATCGCAATTTCGAACATTGGTATTATCTTATAAATGTGATAAAAATCTAGGGGTAAAATCCAAAATTTTAACAATAGGATCATGTTTTAATAGTATAGATGGTTACAAAAACCCTCAAAATGTTTACATTAATTTCTACTAGGTGTTGTTCGCGTTCGGACATAAATGTTACATAAAATATTTATTCTTTTTACAATATAATAAATTTTAAATAATTATTAGAAATATTTAAAATAAACTTTTAACTTCAGATATAAATATTTAAGATATATGAATGACATGTCAGCAAAAATCACATAAATAATTTCTCTTTTAATATATATAGTAATATGTGTATAAACAGCAATTTTATATGATTAATTACATCTTTATAAATGTATATTTGTAAAATGATAAATAGATCCATTAAAGATTTACAAATGATTTCATAAACGTTTATAATGTTTTATAAGTATAATAAATAGATTTATAAATCTTTTAAAACAATTTGTAAGCTCTTTAAAATGATTTTGTAAGTCATGTCAAATGATTTTTAATTTTTAAATATTTATAAAGCATGTGTGGGTTTTAAAAAACAATAATTTGTATCATTATAATCTCTTACATACGAGTATAATGTTTTGTATAAGAACATAAACCATTATATCACTTTCTAAAACTTATTTTATATTAATTTATATGTATAGAATATAAATCCAAGTAATAGGTATTGATAAAACATTATATACCCTTTCTACGATTTCTACAAAACTACCATAAATCACTAGTTGATTTGATTGGCAACTGGTATAAATAAGTTCATGAATTATCTTATTTTTAGATCTGATTAAAATAAATAAAAGTTAAAAATAAATAACCAATCAAATTATATAAATTTCCTTAAGATTTTACTTTTGAATGACACATAAATCAAATCACTCAAGTAAGTTCTTTTAATACTCTATTGCATAATATTGATGTTTTAGAATCTGCACACATATTAATAAAGATAAATATACATTTACCGATTTTTTTTTATTTTTTATTTTATTTTCAATAAGGTATACAGCTCATATTTTTGGATTTTTGTTTTAGCTGTAAATCAAAATGCATTAATTAAAGTCTAGAATTAATTTTTCAAATTTAGAAACAAAAGTAAAACATTAATCTTTTGTATATAGAAAGAGTATATGGTAACATTCCATTAGAAGATGCATTAATTTCATGCGCTTTTTAATTAAAATAATAATAAATTAATTTTGAGGACCATATTTTACTCGGAGAATGAATATTGTATATACAAATTATTTTTATTAATTAGATTATTTATTTTACGTTTTTACATACTGTAAAATTAAAATAACAGTAAATATATATTAAATAACTAAAAAATTAATTATTACATTTATAATTAAATTGACACAACACACATCAAACTAATATCTCTTGTTATTTACAATCATTTTATGGTAAATAAATCTAAATAATCTCTTTATATATTGTATGGATATAATTAAATTTTAAATGATATTAACATAGATATATAATATATTTTAATCAATATATCTATTAGATGAGACTTCTTAATCATATGATTTATGATTGTTTGTATCCTTTTATAATAAAAATATTAAATCCATGATAGCAAAATTTTCATTGTAGTACTTTTAATAGTTTTAATAATTTATAATGGTTCTTGAAAATTCAATGTGAATTTCAAAAATAAAATATTAAGTTCTCAGTGGTAAACTGAAATAGCAAGTATATACAATTTTATGTTATATATAATCTAAACTAAAGGACATTGAAATTTATTTTTCCTTTTAATATGAATATTTATAAAATGAAACTTAATATTCGTAAAATTTTATGATTATTTTTATTTATATAATAAAAATTACACTATTAATCACAAAATTTTAAATGTGGAACTAATAAATTTACTAACAATTATAGAATTGTGAATAGTGTAACATTTACTAAAAATAAAAACAAATCAAAACTAATAAATAATAAATAATTTTTTTTATTTAATATGTGAAAGTTGGAAAATCAATTCTTAAAGAGAGATGATTCATGATGTATCTAATTAGTTTGTTTGGTGAAAACTTGAAATGTAGATATGTATGATGGTGATTGGATGTGTATGTGGGGATATGTATATAAGTTGCATGATCTGAAACTTATTGATTGATAATAACATATTATAAATAAATGAATAGGGACCATGCATATATATATATATGGTTCCCTTTTGATATAGGTTGCATGATCTGTGTATTTAAACACCTCGAAATACGTGTGCGGATTTAACTTTTTCGTTTTCTAAAAAACGCTCTTATGGACAAATATCGTGAATGGCGAAAACATTGCGGTATTTATAAATCCG